GTACAATATACCCTTTGCAAATCGCCCTCATTTAATTGTCAAAACTCCACTGTGATCATCACGCGTGTTACTACGGTTTGAGTGATTGCCATTTTAAAGTTAAACAATGTTCCGTTACTTCTAAGATTGCAACAATTGTTACATGGTGATCGCGATCAACACAGAACTGTCATCGCACATGCGTAGTTTAGTCGACATGCGTTTCAAGATACCCCACGACATTACTCTCAGTATGGGACGGTTTAATGTTGCCCTGATCAAACACGTGATTTGTTTATTTATTGAAAATAGAGACTACGTCAAAAAAGAGCAGACAACTGCTCGACGAGTATTTTTCACGACGAGATGGAGAAACCGCTAAATCATGTTCAGAACCAGAAACCCATGGGTGTCCTAACCCTGACAGCACCAAGAAACGGAAAGTTGATCGTACTGCAGCACGATTTCAGAAATAATGGAAGGTGAGACAATGTTAGCAAATCGATGGAAACATACTATAATTTGTGTAACGTTCTTACCGGGCATTCTTAGCATTGAGATCGAGTTATAAGACCGAAAGTTACTTTAGTTACTTTTTCACTTTAAATCTGAAATTTTGATGAAAATAAATAGTCATTTTGTGTCACCATAAACGTCGATATGTGGGTTTGCATGATGAGCACGAGAGATTACTTCATAATAATATACAGCTTTTTGATTGGTATAGAGTTTTTTTCTGTGGGAGAGAAATTCCCTGTGAAAGTTTATTCACAGGATTTAACGGCCCAAATATGTCCAGTGCAGTAATATACTATTTTTTTTTGTGACTCTAAAATTTTATGTCCACTATTTGCAGGATAAATATTTTATAAGAAATGATAATAAAGATAATTAGAGCTTAATTTTGTACTTACTAGTGCCAGTGGTATTTATTCTTGAGCTTAAGTTATTATTTTGTTTATTGTGTTTATAATTGTTTTATGTGGTAATATATATCAAATTTCCGATTTCTTTAGATTACTTTTCCTTGGTTAGAGTATAATATGGATACTAAAGTAATGACCTGTCAGTGGTGCATTAAAAGTGGAAAGAATTCATTCACCAGTGGATCTGACTAAAGATTACTGCACAAATCATGCCAGAATTGCTGACCACAAATATGTCAAAAATGACTTGTGTTCTAGGCAGTAAACTTAGTGAAGTTTTGAATGATGAATATTTTTCCCACTGTTAACAATGTAAGCTTATCATGAATATGTTTAATTAATACTGAGTTATTCAAATAAAGGTTCTGGTGTCTACATTGCATATTTTGTTGTACCAGGGAAGTCCTACCCATTACAAGTTGTACCAGGGAAGTCCTACCCACTACAAGTGCCACCAGGGAAGTCCTACCCACTACAAGTGCCACCAGGGAAGCCCTACCCACTACAAGTGCCACCAGGGAAGTCCTACCCACTACAAGTGCCACCAGGGAAACCCTACCCACTACAAGTGCCACCAGGGAAGTCCTACCCACTACAAGCGACACCAGGAAAGCCCTACCCACTACAAGTGGCAGCTAGGACACCCTACACCAACGAGTTTCAAACCATTAGCAATTTGTTCCTACATATAGCAATTTGAAAGTAAACACGTAATTGCAGTTATTAAATAACATTTTATTGATTGCATACACATTGAGACAATGCATCTTATTGAACTTTATGTAGGCACAGCGAATTGTAAATGTCAGCCCATGATATAATCGATCTTTATAGTCATAGAATAAGATAGTGCTGATGAAAAATGTCTCAAATTATCATTCTTGATAGTACGGTATCTCTCTCAGGATAAACTTAGAACACCTAAGGCAACATAAGATTGTGATGATGCGAGTCCCATGCGGCGAAATCAACGTGTGTACAATATTTTTTTTTTTCACATGAAATTCAAACATTCTTTGTGTGTGTACCTTAATCTAGCTATAAAACTAACAAACCAACACAAAAAATGTAGGAACTTAGCGATTGGTTGCAGGGCATAGGACTATAGTAATGAACCAGCGCAAAGGGGCAATCAACACACAGTTTAGGGGAAATACTCAATCAATTTAAAACATATACCCCTGTAAAAAAAAAATTTCCTATTAAAATAACTGTAAAATTCAAAGGTTCCTTCGTAAAACATTCCAAAAATACACACAAGTTGTTAAATTTATTTATTAGTTAGGCAAGGAAAAAAAAAAACTTTTGTTTTTTGTTTTTGAACACCTGCCAAAAAAATATTTCTGGATTATCACCAATAGCAACAAGTTGCATGTAATCTGTAGTGAAAATGTGTCTCATTAGTTTCAAGCAAAATTTCTGTGTATATCTTGTTCTAGTTGCATCCACAATCTTTTGCAAGTCATATCCAAAAATAAATAAACCGACTCACGAGCTCATTTTCAAATTTCAATGATAAGAGAAACAGATTTTTTTTTTTCTTGCCTTAGGGCAATTTGTTCACCGTGTGACCATAAGATACCAGTATGTATGAATCAACCGATGTGAGTTGATTCGGTAATTGCCGACTGTTGGGTTGCCAACAAACATTATAATATAGGCGTATCTAACTACAGAACTTATCAAACTAGTACAGTGTAAGTGTATTGTGAAATTTGTGACAAAATAGATGTTGACATCCCCTTACAGAATGTCGTATTGTGAAGTGATAAGAATCGACTTGTCAATCGACAATAATACAATATATTCCCCTCCATGCAATATGGTCGCCGACAAATCGCAAATAACAGTTGGGTGTGTTGTATTTGTAAAGTTCACCATATTTCCTGTGACACCAAGTGAAGCATACACAAACAAAACTATTTAATAAGTCTTGAAACTGTGCACCTGCAGTTGACAGGACTCGGACGAGCAAATCTGTTTAATGACACTGTTAATGAGGCATATTATACATTAAATTATGATTTTTGATGATAGGTGGTCTATTAGTACTTTTTAGAAGTGTTCTCAGTTTTTTTTTTAATAATCATCTTTTTGATAATGTGCCAGTCAATGTGTGGGACCATTGTCCAGAAGGGGCAACACATAAAGCATCCCTACAGACTTTTCAGTCAGAGCACCAACATATGCATATTAGAATTCTCTTCCTCAAGGAGGGGTGGCAGCTTTAAACTTTCAGGCACAAAGAAAAATGAACAAGACAAAAAGTGCCATTGGGATTGTGCGAGTTAGTTTGCTCCAGCAGTGGAGAACTTGAAGATTATTCATTTTTTTTAAAAAGGTTAAATACTAAATAACGCTCACTACAAGCACAAGCTTTCTTAGTTACGAGAAAATTTTCCAGACATCTTCAATTATTTTTCGTTGATAATTTATAATATTTGAATAGAACTATTGATGAAAACTCAGTACGTTATTAATTACAATTTATATACTAGTACACTCAATCAAGATGGTTGAATTTGTGGAATATGACAGCTTTTATCGCCAAGGTCTCCAGAAAAGCAGGTTACATGTGGTTCAAAAATATACCCACTACTGGAATGCAAGAGTTGGTTTTAGTACAAAACAAGCCATTGTGAGAAGAGGGAGATTCGGGTAGCTGATGGCGGATGTTCTTTTCTTGAGAGTACAACATGTCTGGGTGCACGCATGCACCGGTCTGATGACATGATACTGTTCATGACGAGGTCGTGCCCTTCAGACACGGAAGCTTTGGTGCGAAAACAGAGCTCGAAATACACCTGAAATAAAACCTCTACCCTATTTTAGCCATGAAAGCACATAACGATGTCTAGACTCGAGGTTCCTGCAACTTTATATCGGCAATATTTGCTACATGGTTTAAAATAATCATTCATAGCGTAGTGTAGTGTAACATGTGGGATCATTGTTGTTGTTCCTCATGAGCGAGTACGCCATTTTGCATACGAGACCACCGGATGGGTTGGGAACCTCACTTCCCCTCTCAAATGCTCACTCCTTCAATTATTCGATATCAAATAAAAACCACCTGAACGATTAAATGACTACTTGCAAAGCCAAGAATAGGACAGGAAAACGGTTGTTAGGGCATCACGGTTTTCCCGCGATTTCCACTTCTGGTAAACAAGTTTACGAGATTGGCAATTTGCCAGACCGAATGATGTGGTGAATGAAACTCACAAACAAGTCTACAAAATCGTACCTACCTTCGTTATTACTGCAATCGACTTGCGTTAATACAATAAGAAAGGCAACTAATACCCTCCACTGGGCTGCCATGATATCCACAGCGGTAAATCCAACATTAAAACAGAGTAAATTCAGGTTTAAACTCACGACAAACTATGTTAACTTCAGCGTTGCAATTACTACGTAAACAATATAGTCAGGACCATCGACGGGACAAACAACACAACTTGACCTCATTTTCCGCACTTATGGCCGTCGCCATTCCGATCTCTAGAATCAACGCAACCGAGAAATGTCCATCCTCTACACCTGTCGTAGAACTAAATGCGTTTAAAACCAAATGGCGCGAGAGCAGGCCGCTGTTGGTATCCTGTGCGACCTCAGTTTTTCTCAGTTGGAAATGAAAACAATACTTTGGTATGTAGCGCTGAATGAACAAACACTCATAATAGACGTGGCGGTAAAATACTTTGAAAACAGATCGGCCCTCATTTACATTAACTACTCGTACTCCGCCTCCTAGACGGTAAACAACTTCAGAACGTGGCCCAAATAACGAATTGTCACAGAAGTAGCTCGGAAATGTCCAAACGTGTAAAATGGCACCTGTCAGTCAAAAAGAACTGCAAGCTTTTTGACTTCAGATCGCGCGGTTATCTATGACGTAAATGCGATAACTTGTAGCAATGTCATAACGACCGTGCCAATAAAAAGTAGCGATAATCTAAATAAATTACATTTTTTTTTTTGATGGGGGTATGGGCCAACTTTTAAGGTTAAACATAAGTTTCTCCATACTGCAAAAAATATAAGTCCATACTGTGACAATCGGTAATTTTTCCACAATAAAAACATTCCCGTCGTTATCTACAAATTTAGCTTAATGGCATGCGATGAAGTCATATATTATCCTGCAATTCGTTTCTATAAATTGTCATTTTACCATCATTATATGCAATTCCCTTCCCGCCCAGTTCGAATAAAGCTGGACCCAAATAGTGAATTGTCACAGAAGTGGCCTGAAAACGTGTAAAATGGCACCTGTCAGCCAAAAAGAACTG